CTCCCTTTTCCCTTGATTGTTTATTTTTCTATGTATATAAACGAGACTGCTACATACGGAGCCGCACATTGATCGAATACGTTGTTGTGAGAGCATATTTTTAGGTTATTCGTTATTTGTTGGAATATACAAACAGTTCATTACTGAGTACTGCGCAAGCATTTCCTGTTTAGTTTTCCAATGCATTATATACCTTTTGTTGGTCGTTTCTCATATTTCGTTTATCGTTAATCGTGTTTCGTTTTTTGGTCATTCGTTTTTCGTTTTCGTTTTCCATTTTCCTTTATTTTTAGCATTATATATAGAGATTTAATTTTGAGCTGTTCAGTTTGCATTTTCTATTATAGCAGCGAGCATGGCGCAACGCATGCTATGTTATGTGTGTAATGAAGTTTTCGCTATTCGAACCATGCGACTTGTGAGAAACTTCAGCAATCCAAAAGTGGAGATTGCTATGAGGTACCGTGAGGAACTGAACCACTCTGCTTTTGTAATAAGCGATATATCAGGTGTTTGTTTTAACTGTGATTTATTACTTACACGGGACGAAGCGGCCTTGCAAAATCCCGAAAGTCTTAGGTTGAATATCCTTGAACAAAAATCCTCTGAAACATGTATGATATGTAATCACCTCAGAATACATTTGCAACGGCTTAGTATTGAGGCTCGAGTTGAAGAGGGTATCATTTACGTCCCTCAAGCATCTCGGATCTGTTCACAGCACCTCGATGAAGGAGGATTTCGTTTGAGTAACCTTTATATATAAGTTATTAGATTTTTTACACGATTAAGAAAATCGGCTCTAAAAAGTCGTGCGCACTCTCTTGATTCTAATAATTTGACTGATGAACATTGTACTTATCTTACTTCGATATCACTAGCTTAATTCAATAATTTACCTGAATATTGCATTCTTGTCATTGGAGGTAGTAACTTTCGTGGTTACCACAAAATCTCGTCCTGTATCTTGGGAGTTTTGGGGCCTCTGAACATTAGGGCATTTGTTCCGGGTCACATAACGTATAAAAAGTTCAGCGAAATTAACAGAAACTGCAGATATTCGACTAGAACCGTAATCATTATACTGACTTGGACGGCCTACATCTTAGGGCCCGTTGAGTTTTGAGACCTATGCCCATCAATACATTTATTCAGGATGTGGAGACAATAACATCTGAAAAAATGAGCAAAATTGACTGATACCGCTCTTTCACTTAAGGCATATATTTGAGTATAGCCAATACATTATATTGACTTGGACACCCTATATCTTGGAACCTGTTGAGTTTTGGCGCCTCCGTCCATTAAGGCATTTGTTCAGGATTCCGAGGCACATAACGTATGAAAAATTCAGCGGAATTAACCGAAACCACTATTTCACTTAAAGCATATATTACCATTGCACCCAATAGATTAGAACGACTTGGACGCCCTATATCATGGAATTCGTTGAGTTTTGGGGAGTATATTAACACGTTCAGTGCGAACAGCGTCAAAAGAAGCCCTCCGCTCCTGTGGTGGGAGGCGAACGGCGTCTTTCGACGCTCTCTGCCGGCTTCCAAAAAAAGGAAAAAAGTTTTTCAGTTTCTGAGGTGAGTATCCTCATCCCAGTTCGCAGTGAATGTGTTAAGGCTTTTACTTAGGATGCCGAGGCACCAAACATATAAAAATTCAGCGAAATTAACCGAAACCACTCTTTCACTTGAAGCAGATCTTCGAGAACGACTGATTACTCCACTATACTGACGACGGCCTATATCTTGGGATCCGTTGTGTGTTGGGGATGTGCTGGTTAAGGCATTTATTCAGTATGAGTAGTTCAGGTAAATTGACCGAAACCACTCTTCCGTTTAAAGCAAATATTTGAGTAGAACCCAATTATACCAACTTGGACGCCCTATATCGTGGGACCTGTGGAGGTTGGGTGCCTGTACCCATTAAAACATTTGTTGGAGATGCCAAGATATATAAAAAATCAGCGAAATTAACCGAATCCGCTTTTCCCATAGGCATGTTGCCGGGTCCTTTGCTCATGTCCAACCCATCCCATAAAAAGGATCTCAGATCGACCCTTACAACTACAAGCCTATAGCTCTGTTTTCGGTTATAAGTAAGGTGATCGAGAGGTGTATAACTCGCGAGCTTCTGGACTACCTCGAACGTCACAGCTTGATATGTCAGGCAGTATGATATCAAGCACCAGCGATCCACACGGGACCTTCTAGCTTACGTCACACAATTGAGGAGTAAACCCATCCAGTCTTATGGTGAGGCTCATGTCGTTGTTCTTGACATAACGAAAGCGTTCGATCAGCTGTGGCACGCTGTTCATCCCACAACGTCAGCGCGGGTGTTCCCCAGGGATTGGTCTTGGCTCTGACGCTGGTCCTTTTACATATCAATAACCTCCTGTCCTGCACGATCAACCCAATCCACAGCTTCGCTGATGACAGTACTCAACATGCAGTAATTCAGAGTGACAAGCCTATCTCTACCGCTGAGCTGGAAAAAAGAATACTAACGACAACTTTCTCTCTGACGCGAGACCTGACAGGTTATCACTGCTTGGGGACGCAACAATCTTGTACAGTTCAATGCTTCCAAAACACAGTACTGTACTTTGACGAACAGAGAGCGTCCTAGCGCTCATCCGGTTTCGATGGACGGCCGAGTTCTGCCAAAGAGCCATTTATTTCGGCTGGTCGGAGTCCAGATCACCAAGGACTTGATCTGGCACGAACACATCTCGTCAAAAGCGGCATCTGCTGGGAAAAAGCTAGGCTATTTGTTTATTGCTAAGAAGTACTTTTATCCGCCTGACCTTCTCACCCTATACAAGGCCCAGATCAGGACTCCTGTATTGCTCACACGTTTGGGGTGCCGCCACCCTGACTACATTATTTATACTCGATGCTGTCCAGAGGAGGGCTGTCCGACTTATCGATGACTCTTCTCTAACAGACAGTCTCGGGACCAGTTCCCACCGACGGGCCGTCGGCGATCTAGCTCTCTTCTACCGCTGTACCCACCAGCTTTGCTCCTCAGAGCTCTCTTACATGATGCCGCCATGCGATGTGCCTGCCAGACAGGTCCGCCTGACTTTGGCGACCCATCCTAACCGTGTCGAACTTCGTACATTCCGGCATTTAGGTTTCTACCTGCGCGGCTGCTTCGGTATAAAAAAATTATTATTACTATTATTATACAGGGTGTCCAGAAATCAAAGGATAATCCTGGAACTTCGAGCAAGTCACGTCATGGCCTGCTGGATGGTAAAATTTTGTTTAATAAAAGCCTTATAGCTTTCGAGATTTTCAGCATTCAAGCATTCAATTTTTTTTTAAGAAAACTTATTTTTAGTTAACCTTGTACCATTTCTGCAAATATCAACTTTTTTGGATCAAGTTGGTTTTAAAACATTGAGAACTTAGCACGAATTGCTCCAGTATTATTTTTCTTTAAGGTAGTGAAAAATCCACACAAAAGTTATGCCAAAGTCTAAATTTTTATTAAAAGCTCTTCTCACGCCTGACTTTAATGCCCTGTAGACTGAAAGGATGAAGTACGATCACTGTACCTGTTAATCGAGAAAGTTGTCCAACTATTGGGAACGTTTAAATGGTATTATTGTTATCCGCTCTTTACTATTTTCTTTTCTTTCGTTTTATTGCAGTTATAATGGAGGAGGGACAGCTTTTCTAGGTATCAGAAACAAACAATTTATGGCTTGGATACAAAAATGGACAGGATTGATGTTTAAGAATAACTTACATTTAAGATATTTATGTAATGAGCACCACTGACTGCTATGCATGATCTACATTTTTACTCAAAACATTTTTTATCAAAAAAAAAATAACCGCTAACATGCTCGAGGCTAGTTCACCCAAACTGTGGTCAGCCCAGTTTGGTAGACAAATTATCTAAAGCAAAAGATGTAATGGATTTAGGTCCAACGGTCTTGGTAGCAAAAAGGTAAGTAGCCAGATCCACCTTGATGAATGTTGAATTAGAGTAATTGAAGTGGTCTTGATCTGACCGAGTGTGATGGCACCGGAGTATTATTTAGTATTATTACGTTACAGCAGATGTCTTTGCCTTGTTTACAGACGTGAGGATTTTTTCTTAGACATTCAGACTTCTGAATAATTTCTATATGGGTACCTCCCATTTCAAGTACAAAAGGATGCTGTTAATGATAAGATACTCAATTGTGATAATACAAATTATCTCAAGCAACCACGATAAAGGACCTGGCAACGCTCTGTATACAGTTCAACACCTCAGTCCTTAATAACGTTCTTTATCGAAGTGCAAATGCTAAGAACTTGTTACCTAATGAGGAAGAAAGTTTGATTAAAAGACGTTATCACAAAAAATGACTCGCGTTCTCGAGTCAACTAGGAATTAGGAATTTATCTTACAGGTTAGTACTTCACGCTTAAATTATATTATCATTCATTTATTTAAAGTCAAAATCGAGTACCAGCTAAAATATTGTGTTTGTCTATTGAAGTAGTATGTAAAATTTGTATTTCATTTTTAGGTTATACGTCAAATAAAGCAGAGTAGGTCGACCACGCGAGGTAATAACTTAATTTGTGATATCTGATATGTTCAAGCATTTTATTTGTTAGACGTTTTGTACAATCTAAGAATGTTTTAATATAATTATCTCAATTTAATTTCCTAAAGTTACTAGACTAGGGGCAGGAGGTAGTGACGTAAGAGCGTGTACGTGTAAGAGAGAGAGAGAGAGAGAGAGAGAGAGAGAAAGAGAGAGAAAGAGAGAGAAAATATTGAATGAATTCAAAGGAAAGGAAAGTGTCATTCTGATGGAGGCTGTCAGATTTGCACAATTTTAATGAACTTACTGACTCCTTATCTACTAAACACCTAGTACGTTAATATTTGATGAAAAGTATTGCGTTTGTGATATCAAAAACCAATAAACCGCTAGGTGTTTTATGGTGAAATAGGTGCTGTGACAGATTACTCACACATAATCGCCATCTGTAGGCACTTGCAGGACTTCTGGTGCCGCATAGGGTAGCCACTCATTTCGTCGATGGACTACTAAGCCCGTTCTCCTCATTTCGCCAAAATCACACAACTTGATGCGTGAAAAGTCTGATTTGAACACTAAGATATTATCCAACTTAACGTCTCTGTGCACCAGGTCTCTAGAATGAATGTGTTCAAGAGCAGACGCCAGTTGTTTTGCTACACGTTTGGTGTGAAGCTCGCCGATTCCTATCTCTGATACGTTCGAAGTCAGGTCACCTAAAAATGGAAATAACTTACTGTAAAATGCAGATTTTGGCTACATGATATCTACGACTTCAAATATACCGCGCAACTACATATTTCTGTTCGAAGGGCCAGTTTCGAAAATATTTGCGACTCTTACGTTTAACAGGTGTTGTATTACCAAAACCTAAAGACGCCATAAAATTCAGGTGTTTCTTCTCTTGCTCTCTCAACAAAAACGTATGTTACATTGAAGCATGTTTTCTTGTATAACAACGAACTCTTATAAGAGTTTACGTGTAAAGTAAGAGAGTAACAGCATTTTTAAGCTTACAAAGTTCGATGAAAACTTGAGGACTGATTAAATTATAACAAAAATTTTCAATATATGGGAAAGCTATATATGTCTTACTTAAACGTATCAAAAAAAATGACGCTTCATGCTTGGATATCTAAAAAATATGTGTGTGGCTGCAAGTGACGAAAATTTTAGCCATTTAAATAGCCCAAAAAGGGCAAGCATTTTTACAGCTTCTATTGTCTTCAGCTATAATAGAGAGTGTAACATAAGTAACAAATCGTTAATCCTTCCGTTACGTTATTTTTGACAGCGACACGAAAAAAGAGACCACTAGAGTGAACGGGACAGTACTGACATAAAGATAACCCCAAAATTTCAAGATCTTGATAATCTTTTTCATAGAAAAGCTTCAGTGTGATATTTCTGTCCAAACCGGACAAAAAATGAATAGGTTTAGAATCAAATAGAACAACATAATGGCATTCAAAACCAGCAAGACTACAATAACAAGCCCCCCTTACCACATTGCATACGTCCCAGAAGTAACACGCTAGAGTGACACAAGAGGTAGATTATCTTTAGATCTATTCTAGTTTTCGAGATATTTCCACTTTTAATTTTGTTTTCAAAAAATCGCTACTTTTTACTCCTTTTTGCCTGCTATGGCTATAAAGAACTTCTAACTCATGATTTTTCTCTGGGCTGAAATTAGTAGTTGGTTGAGAGTATTGATTTCATTGAAAACTAGCACGGTATGCTAAAACAAACTAAATTTGCATTTGGTTTTAATGCTTGACTAATTACTGTGAAAAAAATATACCAGACTGAATTAGCAAATGATATTAAAAACTAGCTATTTAATGCTCTTCCAAAAATAGAATAACATTATAGGTTCCTTTTAGTAAAAACTGAATAATTCCAACTGTCATTGAAGTCGTAATACTTGCCAAATACTACAAATGAAAAATAGTCCCTCTCTTATACACAACCTGTATCTTCTTAAAAATTGTCCTTTTGAACATCTCAAACTTAAATCGGATATTTTGCATGCTGCTTGACGGATTCGATGACACAGTTCATCGGCTGATCAAACTGGTGTTCTATAGACCTTATCTTCTAAACATCCCCAGTAAAAAAATTCCAGCAGGTTCAGGTCTGGTGAGCATGGGGGCCACAAAATTGATCCTAGCCTTCCAATCCATGTTCTAGGGAATTTTTCATCAAGATACAATAGTGTGCAGGGCACCCATCATTCTGTAACCACATCCTTCCTCTTGTCTCAAGAGGCACATCTTCCAAAAGGGTGGATGATGTTGCAAAAAATCTAGTTGAATATAAGTGTTTAAGATTATTTGCCGATGCAGTCTGGTACATTTTTTTTCACAGTAATTAGTCAAACTTTAGTAAAGGTTTTCACATTGAAACAAAATGCAATCATTTTGTTTTTTTTTTTAACATACCTTGCTAATTTTCAATGGAATGAGTACTAGGTTATCTCAACCAACTATTAATGGTGGCCTACGAAAAAAACAGCAGATTGAAGTTCTTTACAGCCATAACAGGCAAAAAAAGATCCAAAAATAGGGATTTTTTTCAAAAAGCCTAAAAGTGGCTATATCTCGAAAACTAGAAAACTTTTATTAATGTCATGAATTGATTTGATTGATCGGCAGCCAATAAACTCGTGAAAAAGCGAATGTATTACAAATAATAGCACTTTTTTATTCTAAAATGATGCTTTTGTACAGAGCAAAAGGGACAACTTTCAGGTATTTTACTATTTCTTATCAATTTGCAAATAACGGGTGAATCTATCTCCCAGTCGATGGGAATGCGATAGATAATAGGTCGATTTTCTGGCTATTAAATTATAATAGCATGTTTGGACGTTTATAAATGCAAGGCAATTTCGAATTTGTTTGATTGCTTGTTCGTTTGTCTGTATTTTGCAAGAAAATAGAAAAAATAGAATACAAAATGTATTCCAGCCAATTCCTCATATTTTGTTACATCATAATAGTAATCATTTAGCATCAATTTATGGGCTACTGTATTTCTTCAGAGCAATCAAAACAGTCCTCTCCATCTTAAAACACAACTCCGTAGTGCATTATGCAATTGCTATAGACATAAACCAAAAATTATGAGTAATTAGTCTGGAAAATAAGGCCTCCGAACTTTTAAAGTAATAAATAATAGTAAAATGTTAATGGTTTGGTTGAGTTTTTGGACTGGTGGGGACTGGTGGAGATATCTGTCACTCGCAGGGTTGCAAAGTCTAACGAGGATCACGTCGCGATGTTAAATGCGCATAACAACTTTGAAAAGATTCTTTTACATTTACTGGTTTTGAATTTAAAGTAAAAACACAAACATAGTACCTAAGGTAGTTGGAGCTAGACTGATATCAAATCTTGGAGACTATTTGTGTGAAAACAATCATGGTCTGTTGTAACTTTAAATTGCAAACAAAGTGAAATTCTTACAGACAGTGGACCGTCGTCATAGTTTACTATCCTGATTATGACTATCTTTGGCAGCTGTGTTGTATCATCAAATTGAAGAAGAAATAAGAAAGCTCAGCGGATTGTTCATGAAAATTTACTAGGTATTGTAGCATTTCTCTGGGTTCTTTTGGGTGTGGATTAAAATACTGGATTCCACAAAAAGAAATGCACCAATTTATTCAACTTGATAAAACATGTGAGGCGACTTGAAGTGAGATAAGATTAACTGAGAAAGTGGCCAAAAGTGGAGCTACTGACATCAGTCAAGTATGGGCTAAACTGTCATAATATTACCAAGCTATTCAATAGCGTTTTCGTTCAGTGAAACCTGTGTTGCACCGGTGCACGTTTTTTGTTCTTATAACAAAACCAGTTTATATATTGTATATATATATATATATATATATATATATATATTATATATTATGTTCTTTTGGTGCGCATTTTTAACTATCTCCTGCTATGATTTCATTCTTTGAATACATCCGTGCTGTTTGCTCGAAGTTTTATTTTTTTTTACTTATTTACTTACAATGAGTTGCAAAATATGAAGAATTCTAAAAAAAACAATAGCATATCTTTATAATCGATAATATTATTGTAATTAAATCCGTCCTGGTACACTTTTAAACAAGATAAAAGTTTATTTTATCCCAACATTTTCAGGTCAGAAATTTTGCCATCCTTGCTCTGAAATAAGCACCCAATAGCCCTAATTCTGAAAGAATCAGTCTCTACTTGTCATTATTAGTGTAAGGTCGGTACTAATAGTGGATGGCGGTATTTCAATAACTCGCTAATCTTTGTATTCATTCCTTTATTATAGATGATCATGTCTGACAAGCCAAATTTTATGTCTTACGTTAGTCAGGATAAATTATCCGAAACATTTCTTCGGATGCCAGCGATTTCAAATGTACTGGTTGACAGCGGCGGCGGAAATATAAGATGTAATTATTGTTCTCAAAATTTCAAATGAATGTAGGATATATGGATGATTTTATAATCACCTGTGTTAGTGACGCTTCTGCTTTAACAGATAAGTGACTACTTATTTGTCAAAGCAGCAAAAATATGTTAATAGCACATGGCGTTATAAAATCTCTGATCAGGAATAAGCACTATAAAAAGTGACAACAGCCTCAGATGTATGTAAAGAGCCGGCGGGTCGCATGTGGCGTTCATGCACAATCTGCCAACTATGTGGCATCCAGAAAAAGTGGCGCTTGACACCGAAATATATCAACCGTGTTGATATATACATAACACGCAACTGTACCTTCTTCAGTGTGTTCGTTTAGCGATATGCGCTATTGCTTAGGACCTTGGCTAGGTTTTTTTATGGACCCTGATAGATATTTTCAACATAATCGCAGAATACACAGCCCATTGGGTAAGGTCCGCTTTAGGGGAGGGCACTTTGCTCTATAAATTATAGGGATTTTTTAACTACACTATATACTCGAATAGTGTTTCCTAATTTTAAAGAAACCTACCTAATGGGGCATATTCCTGTGAGAACACGTAGAACCCAGCAGTTTCGAAGGCTACGTCATAGGCAGTTATGATGTTTTTGTGTACTCCTAAGTGTAAGCCGTAGTGAAACTCTCTATAAAAATCCTTAAGAGCTGTGTACGGTTTTGGAAGAGCTTTCAATACCATTTCAGTATCAGTAGCCTTGTGTTCTACTAGCAAAATTTTGCCGAACCATCCTTCACCAACGATCTGGAGTATGTCAAATTCTTCTACCAAGTTCACCTACAAAAAAATTGATTAGTAGTTGCGCATTGCAGTTTGGGTTTCCACCATATAGTAGGCCAGATGTTCAGTCGTACAACAGAATTACATTTTTGAGGGAAAATAGTAGAGATTTTTTCCACCAAGTGCACCAATTAATCTTTTCCTATATTGTAGTTATGAAATTGATAAGAATCCTTTCATACACATTATTCAAAATCGACTATTTTCTTCACTTCTTACTGAGATAACGTCGCACACTCTACTGGACGGAAGAACGTACGCTTACGTCCGTATGCGTGGATGTCAGAATAGTCGTGTAGTCGTTCTACCGTCCAGTAGAGTGCGCGATAAGTTTCCGATAACAGTAAGTACATTGTTTTTTGATTATTTTCTCGATGTTTGTTAAAGAGTAACCATTCTTTGATTTTATTTATGTCCTCAAAGAATGTATCAAGCAGACTTTTGTTCAGCAACAGTGAGACACTGTTATTTTCAATAAAATGCTCAGTAATGGCTTCATGTCAATCTGTTATATCTGGTTTCATCCATGTATCGAGAAGGCCACAAATCCTTTTTGATTGAGTGAATTGGCGTCAACTTTTGTGCTCGAACACAACTGACAAAAAAGTTTTTGTTTCTGAGCCAGGTGATTTTGAAACATTTTTTATGTGGGAATTTACAGAAATCGAACAATTTGTGGCTAATTTGAGACACATCTCAAAAGGGATCAACCAAATTCATGAGATCCATTACTTCTCTACTACTAAGTCGGCTTCTCATTGGTCCAATCTGCGCAAATTTTCCTTATACCAGCCGTGATACCCTCAGGTGTTTGCGTAAAAAAGACATCTGTTTTGTTATTGTTCATATTGTCTTGACGTCTATGATCAAATGATTAGTCCAGTGCTGGTTGTTTTTTATTATTTCTTAAAAGTTAATTTCCGTAGTAGAAACAATAGCTCTCTCGAAAAGGTACCTGATAACAAGCTATACCCGACAAAGCTACACAGTCCCAACATCTCATTTAAAAATTTGGGGATTACAACTCACACCTTTAAGGTGTTTTAGTTAGGGGTAAAGTTTTATAAATATGCACAATAATCGTAATAACGAATTTATTTTGGTAGGCTGTTCCATACTGTATAAGATCCCATTCATACCAATTCTTACGGTTTTACAAACATAAGTGCGCATAGCCTCAAATATGTGATAACTAACACCAATAGTATAATATAATAATAATATATATAATTTAGTCAGATGTACACTACATCATTGAACCACGTGAAAAGTTCGGAAGGAGGTTGTACTTAGATTGCACTTTGTAATCTACTATGTACATATTTATATTTATTATGATTTAGATTTTTCTTCAGTTGCTTATGATCTTAAAGCTGCCTCAGCAGACAGGTAAAGAGACAACATGGTTCACTTGTTGTGAGTCCATAAACTAAAGAATTATTTATCGCCTTACGATGTTATAGTTTTTCGGTTCATAATCGTAGAACATGTAACGCAGGAGACTTGGGGGCTGTATGTGCTTTGGGAACTGGAATTTCTACCCTAGGCATGGGGTTGCGGCCCCCTTCCCTATAGCACAGCAAAAATTAAATAAAAAGAACTTTTCTATGAAAATTAATTTTTTCATGACAGGGTTCTCTACAAAGTAAATCAATATCTATTAGATGGGAAATTATTAGGATTCGTTGAAATGCGTTAATGTCACTTGATATTTTATGGATTAAATAACTATTTGATAATTTCAAGGCTTACTCAGGAAAATACTTTTTTCAATAAATAATGTATGTATGATATGCTATAATACTTGAAATCGGATTTTAAAGCTATTCGCCTGTCCAAGAATGGTATACTTAAAAAAATCAAAGTTGAGACGACGAGGGATAAGAACCGAAAAATCATATTAATATTCTATTTATGCCACCTTGTAGAGATAAGTAAAAGGCAATGTTTTACTTTGAAATCTTATTTCAAATAATTTCAGAAAAAAATACAAACCAGGAGATACTCGAAGCATTTTCAAGTGAATCATCTAAAATACTCGTATATGATTACTCAATTTGCCAACGTTTAACCGACCCGGATTTCTTACCGTTTCGAAGATGGCAATGGTGAAAAGAAGAAACTAAGTAAATATAAAATACATATCAACAAAATATGCTGTATCCCCAGCTATATCTTAACTTCTTGAACCTTTGGAGTGGAATACATTAAAGTTGATTTTGTTGTTATATTATTATGACTCACCCTTTAGAAGGCGGTATATTTTCGAAGTAAGAAGCGTATAATTATCCACAATTTTCGGAAATAACTCTTTTGCTTAACTTTTATAGTAATGGAGATATTGAACAATTACATACTAAGAACTCACCCTGCACGCCTAATTTATTACAAACATTCGCCGGATAGCTTGAGCATCTTTGACAATTTTTTTATGTTAATCACTGTAAAGGCTTTAGCTTTGGCTGCTATTGCATATTTACTTTTATGCACTTTTCGGCAAAAATTAAATAATGTTTTGCAATAATCAATTAAACGTTGCAGCGAAGTAGAGATATCTATTAGTTCTCACTTTGAATACTTATAGCTTTGAGGTTTGATAAAAAAGCGCCTAAAACTTTTTACTTTGAGATGAGGGGTCTTTGCATTCTAAAGAATCCTTTTATACAATTTTTTCTACAGCAGGGTTCACTTTTGGCTTGTTAGCCTGATCAAATGGATATTGTGACTTTCTACATAACACATTGCAACAACAGTTTCTCGATTTTTTAACTCGGATTCCACTGCACACATTTTCGAATTGCACACCTCTTGTGTTTGGAGTTACACAATAGCGACTGGATGACTAGAATTTGAATAACGAGTTTTGCTGGATTTCAAAAATAAACTCTTGACTACGTGTTAATATACTATATATATATTTATATATAACATATATCTTTCAATACACTACCAAACTTCATTTCATCATGTGATTATCTATTCGACACATTCAACACTTCTGAAGAAACGATCAAGAGATACTTATTGATTAAATTAAATAGCTGACCTTTTATAAAGGATGCTTCAGAGCAGTGTTTAGGTGATAACAGGAGTTCAGAATGCTTGGAACAAGACCTTTTTCTAGCCTCACCACATAGAAATTAGTCATCCTTAGATTTTGGAAAAAGACTCCAAATTTTAAGGAGTACTCTTGCCCAGAAATTGAGTATTTCAGACGCAACGCCCGAAATAAAAGTCGTAATGATGAAGCAGTGCGTCGGTATCTGTTTGAGAGCTTTTGCGCGCGGATTAACAGGACCTTTACAAACGATTATTCGTTTGAAAAATCCTTCATCTTTAAAAGAAACCATGGCATACATTATTGAAGAAGAAAATTTTCAGTATACGTAAAACATTTTCAAATCCCCAAAACATTTAAAAACACCATGTAGTAACACACAAAATTCATATTTCAAGCCACAGACAAAGTTTCATATAATAACAATTACCATCATCAGGCACGAAATCACAATTTTTATTATCAAAAATTTCAAGCACCTCTTCAGTCGAATTTTCAACAAAGTTACCGACCTCCGCAAACCTTTCCAGCTGACAGAAACCGGAATAATTTCCCAAGTCAGCTGATAGACATCCAAAGTCGAAATAATAATTTTCAAAAACGCTATCCAACAAATCGAGAAGTTTTCGGACCACCCAGAGACACGAACGTCTTCAAGACCAGGAGAACAGTACCGAATAATCCCCCACAGCCTATGTCAGTTTCAACCGGAAATACTTACAAACTGAACTATCCACAAAGGCAAAATCACTTCCAGCCCTCGGGACCCAAAAATTTCATTTCGGACAAATTATATGAGATGGATGACACTCATACCGACGAAAGTTACGAAACCGAACAGCCCGAAAGAACCAGAAATCAAAACCGTTTTCAAAAACTAAAAATTTTTAAGTTCAACATCACTCTGCCTCTTCGTCAACAAATCATGAATCAGACTCAAATTTTTATTACAAGGGCCAAGGCACCCACAAAACATAATCGAAACCCATTCCGAACTCGACGACTCTCTACCCTACATCAAAATTCAAAAATCCACCCTTGAAATTACTCATCGACACGGGATGTTCACATTCGATAATATGCCCTGTAATAGTAGGAAATACTTTCCAGAACGTATTTACCATTCAGTTTCAAGATTAAAGACAGGCGTAGGAGAAAAAGAAGTTCAATTTAAAGCCTATCTGCCATCATTCCCAGAATTTCAATCAGATGATTTTATCACTTCCATTTTATTTGATTTCCATCCATTTTTATAACCATTCAGACGAACAAATAACAATGGATTTTTCTAATCCGTTAGACGTAATCGAATATTCTAAAGGAGTTAATGATAACTTTTATATTTTTCATGTTGAGGATATTATTGGTGAACTAAAACATAATGAAGGAAGCATACAGGAAGTATCGAAATTAATTAGGACTGATCATTTGAACAGTGAAGAAAGGCAGGCTTTATTAAAAGTTTGCCATGAGCTTAGGGATATACTTTATAATGAAAACGAAAAGTTAACGTTCACTAATATTAGTATATATTAATATACATACTTAACGAAAAAACAATAAGTCATCGATATTCATTACCTAATATTAACGATATATTGGACAAATTAGGTAGATGTCAATACTTGAGATTTGGCTTCCGGATTTCACCAAATACAGGTGCATTAAAATTCTATCGGAAAAACCGCTTTTATTGTTGAACATGGACATTACGAGTATACCCGCTTACCATAGGGTTTGAAAAATGCCCCAAGTACATTTCAGAGGGTAGTTGACAACGTTTTACAAGGACTGCAAGGCAAAGTTTGTCTAGTGTATATGGACGATATTATAATTTTTTCCAGTGGTCTTAAAGAACATGTTGCAAATTTAAAATTAGTATTTCGGAGACTAAGGGACACAATTGAAAATTCAACCAGACAAGTGTGGATTTTTACGCAAAG